CCGTTTTTAGGTAACTCTCTATTTTTTGAAACATATCGCGTCCATTTAGATTCCCCATTCACATTGTCCTCGTAAAATATATGTATATAACAATTTATGTTTACGACATATACCTATTCCAGATTTTTTAGAATATCCAGATATTTGCTGGAATGCAATGCTCTCGAGATGTGTGTAGGTGTATAAATCTACTTTTAAGAACTTTACTCTTGCGTGAAGTACATCATAACCGTAGATGCATAAATCGACTTCGATTAAATATACTCAAATGCAGCTGAGTGCCTCGTTACAATATTAGAATGCGCGTGATAACGTTGATCTGTCTGCCTTGCACCTGAGCTGTACACGATCGATTTTACGTCCAGCTAGCTGATTTCGACTGTCGTCGAATCCGATAATCCTATTATTGACGAGCCATTATGCGGAAGATGTCTTTGCCGTGGGCAATTATTCGAATGAAATCACGGAAACTCCGAATAAAAGTGGAATAATTAACAAAATCGATTTAATCTAACTTTGTTTTACTTGAAAAAACGCGCGTCTCTACATCGCATACAATTAGTATGAAATCGTAATTTAATGTATTACCGAAATATTGAATGCCTATAGAATACTAAAAAGTTATTGAGAAATGATTCCAATATCTATTATTCAAACCATTTCGCGTGCAGTTTAACGATAGACTTTGATGTATCGAGTTACAACTCGAAACATCGCTTACAGCTTCTGTCTTTGCGGTCAGCTTCGATGTCGCGCGTCCTCCACCATTGCGATTGACGGACGACCACAACAGCGTCGCCGCAATCACTAAATGCAAAACCGATGGGTGCTCCGTCCCATCCCGCGGAATTCGGGTATCTCACATTTCTGGCGGCTAATCCGTTTTGGCGTGTAAATTGTAGGCGACGCGACGCGACGCGCCGCATAGACGTGTAACACGTCGCGATTCTTCGCGAAACCTCGACGTTAATGGAACGTGTGTGTTTCGTGAAGTGACACGAAGACGAGGTAATGACGGACTCGATTTGTAAACAGATAAGTAAACACATATACTCGAAAGAATACGTTAAACTACGTTACCGCTGTATTGATTCAATAATAATAAATCGTATTAAAAAACACACGGTTAAAATTATTTACGTTGTAAAATGTTTTCGATCAAAAAAGTTTATGCTTTGTGTTGTAATTTATCCGGAAAAGAAATTATCTTGATATATATTATGATTATACAAGTAGAAGTATCAGAGATATTTCAATTTAATATGTATTAATATAAAATATGTAAAAAAAACTACGTGTTTAATATGTATTGTATTTAATATTTGACATAATCCATTTTTAACATTTGAATATTTATTGTATATAACATAACATCTTTTAATATCTACATATTAAACATATAAATAATAATTCAATACGTAAATATTAAACAAAAGTATTGAAAATTTCAATTTTTTTCCTTATTACAATGACACATTGCTGCAATATTGTATACATACATATATTATCGTATTAATCAAATTATTGAAAGACTAAATTGTGTCTACTAGATAATGTCGATGTACAGAAACATTCGATGATTACATGAATTTGATAATATGTTCAATTGGCATTATTATTTTTTTACTTTTTTTGGGGGAGAAAAGGTTTTCGTTTTAACTGATTGTGAAAACACAACTAATCGAAACGTACGCGGCTAAGAATTTCAAGTAGAATAACAAACGAGCCGTTTATTCTCCCTCATAGGTCAAGAGACCTGTCACCATTGCCGTTGTCATCATATAAGTTGCCATCAGCGCAGTAGCCATCGCAAAAGTTGTTCAGGGACGGAAGGAAACGAGCGGTCGAGAGACGAATCTAAAGTCGCTCTTGAAGAGAAACGAGCCTCGAGGGGTGCTCCGGAATATTTGACAACATGTTTCCCTAGACGGTCGTCTGAGAGGAATCTTGCCAAGATACATACGTACATGCATATGTGTACATCTTAGGATTTGCCGCCATCTGGCCAAGCGAGTTTGCTCCATGACATAAATATCGCAGCCTTCTCATCGCGCAAGTAAAATTACACATTTTTATTCTACATAATTATTGAAAATAGTATTATTTGTTTCATTCAAAAATAAATCGAAATAATCTTTATTATGTCATACGAACGAATGAACAAAGAAAAAATAAGATTGTGTTTAGCTAGACATCTTTGTCTCTAAAAGAGAACAATTTTGTAACAATATCCAATTCAATGGACTATAGAAATCACTCGTACTTAGTATTATCATTAATAAAATTCGAAATCTTCCGATAATGGAAATTTTTAATACCAATGAATTTAAAATTTGTAAATATATATACGTTGCGTAATGGCTAACAAATTTAGACGCTTCTTACGTCACGCAAGTCGTTCCTGTTTGCTGAAAACCCAGCGTATTTTTCACGAAATACACCTTTCATGCGTCAGCGAATTCTCCTACATTTCGCGAAACATACCAATGTCCAGCGAGAGTTCTAATATCTCTACTGGTTTTCATTTGTGCTACAACTTTTTACAAAAAGAGATTTTGTTAGGTCAAAACTTTAGGGGAAAAAAAACCAAAATATGTTAATGACTCGACTATACCATCGATCTTACTTCAATAGACATATTGCTCTACATTAACGTTAACAAACCATAAACCTTGGCGAAACTAAATTAGGGTGTAAATCAAAACGTGTACAAAATAAAACAAATGTTAATATTATTTAACGTGACAATCATAGTGATAATAATGATATGTTGTTAAGCTAACGGGATGATAGGTACTATCCTTCTCACTGGAACGCATTTGCCGTGCCAATCTAATGTCCTTGAAGCACGATAAGCACGCTCGTACTGTTTAGAGCCACGAAATAACTTGAACTGCGCGAGCAAAGATATAAATGCCGGAACACCGTCTAAAGCACAATTAGCAAAGTTGGAACGGGAACGGAGCGCATCCGAAGTTGAGCCGGGTGTTCCAAGGACTTAGCCGTTTCGCTGTCCGAAATAATAGCTGCAATGACATACATAGCTGCGCGAGATACACGTTAAGTGCATGAAAATTCATCGACGAATCATGCGATTGCGACGCAATGCGATAAACGTGAAATTATAGCGTGATTTACACGGGACGACTTTTATTCGTTAGAAGCCGCGTCTAGTGACGTCATAGCGAATTCTCTACTAAAAACTTCTTCTAGACGCGGGTTTGTTCTTATAGCGTATAGTCGCGGCGAGTACCGCTTGTCGCTAGCTTGTCACTATCTCGTCGCTAGCTTCTTGCTGCTCTTCCAGATTGAATTTTTAAGTCGTCAGCGTGAAAAGACCAATTTTTCCGGAACGTCCCGGCCACTCAGACCATAAGCATCAGAGAATAATCATGTCATCGAATGATATACTTCGAGCCGCTGTTGTGCTTTGTGAGCAACTATTCGCTTGATCACTAGCGATCACTTAACACTGCGATTTCAAAATTTTAGTCGCTAACGAATAAAAATCAAGCGTGTACAAGCTTTCATCAGCGAATTCGCGGACGAATTAAGAAGCTTGCTTCAAGCGAATAGCAGCAGAATCGAGAGAATTCACTGGCGAATTAATGACGTCACTAGACGCGGCTTCTAGCGAATAAAAGTCGCTCCGTGTACATAAATCACGCTTATGATGTGCGGAAAATGCATCAAGTAAAATCAGATTTTTTACACGACGTCGACGCGTCGATGTGAGAGTTTTTCATTGCAGAAAAATCAAATGCCATAATATGAAATGATTGCGGCTTGATGCAATGATTCTTTTTCTATTTTACAATGAAATCTTGAATATTATATTACAATAGCCGTGTCTAATGTCACACAGCGATACAATTGTTTCGCTTCGTATGCTAGCAAACCCATATTTCATTAACATACGCGATAAAATAAGACATTACTAGAGAAAAATAATTTTTGTTTTATCATTTTCGGGGTCTGTAACAGCGTTCTATCATTCTAAAAAAAAATAATCTCAAGGTACTACGAGGGCAAGTCGATAAGTTCTTAAAAAATCTGTCAGAGAGCACTCGTAGTGTCATGTCACATTACTTTTTGAAAAGTAGCATCTTTCAGCTGATTACTCAAATTTTGAGCAGAATCGCGTGGTTTCATTTCTGTAGACGATTAAAGCGAATAACTTTTGTATTTTTTGCAAAAGGAAAAAAACGAGTTTTGTGCAATAATCAAATATCTACATATGAAAAATTTAACGCCGTAAGAAATCAAAGCCGAGTTGGATAATGTTCATAGCACATCTGCACCAGCGTTTGCGACTGTATACAATTGGGTTAATGAATTTAAACGTGGTCGTACATCCACATGTGATGCACCTCGTTCGGGATCATCAATTGAGGCTGCTATGCCAGAAATCATCGATAAAGTCCACGATATTGTTTTGACTGATCGACGAGTGAAAGTGCGCGAACTTGTTGAAGCCACAGGCATATTACAGTGATTTCAATTTTGCACGAACAATTGGGTATGAAAAAGCTATCGACAAGATGGGTGCCGCGTTTGCTCACTGTGGACCATAAGCGCGACCGTGTGACGATTTCAAAACAATGTTTGGAGATGTTTCAACGTAATCCAGATAAATTTCTGCGTCGATTCATTACTGTGGACGAAACATGGATCCATTACTTCACACCCGAGACGAAGGATCAGTCAAAACAATGAATTTCACCGGGTGAACAGCTCCGAAAAAGGCGAAGACCGTGAAGTCGGCCGGAATGGTGATGGCCACAGTGTTTTGGAATGCACGCGGTATAATTCATATCGATTACCTTCCGTCGAAGCAAACGATTAATGGCGATCACTACGCAGCCCTATTGGACCGTTTCAACAACATTTAAAAAAAAAAACGTCCCCATTTGGTGAAGAAGAAAGTGCTCTTCCATCAAGACAATGCACGGGTTCACACGTGCCCGGCAACGATGGCCAAATTCAACAAATTTCGTTACGAATTGCTTTCCCATCCAGCATATTCGCCAGATTTAGCGCCCTGCGACTATTTCCTGTTTTCAAACCTGAAGAAATAATTCGGAGGAAAGAGATTCACTACCAGAGAGCAACTCATTGCCGAAACAGAGACTTATTTTAAAGGATTGGACAAATCATATTATTCGGACGGCTTGAAAAAATTGGAGAATCGTTGGATCAAGTGTATCGAGCTGAAAGGAGACTATGTTGAGAAATAAAAATGAATCGATCAAAAAAAAAGTGTTTTACTATGTTTTTCTAAAACCTTATTGACTTGCCCTCGTATCAATGTAAAAAATTGTTATCTCGACGTAAATTGTTCGCTGATGTTAATAAGATATTATGTTAAGAGAGATATTTTACGCAACTTAAGAAACGAATGTTCAACTAAGCATTTTTAGCTTGATATTTTTATACCTGTTTCACATCACGTAATCATAATCCACGTAAAAAATTCGGTTGTTATCATAAATTATGCACATTGTGCGCGCGATGAATCTTACATGTACGACTGCCCGGAGTCGTTGGAAGTGCTTCCGTATTACTCAGCGAAAAGAGACGTTTTCTTATTGCAGGATATATTCGAAACTGTCAAGCCAAGCGCGAGATATTAGATAAAGTGCCATATTTTCAATTGTATTGTCCGATCACAGAATCTCGATGAAAACATATTACGCAATAATTTTTAAATTTTGTACCATGCTGTAAAAAGACAAACAATATACGGATGTTGCATGAATAGCTGGCATTAAAGGTGTGCTAATAAATGGGTTTAAAAAATAAAATAAATAAAATTAGACGAAACGATTGAAAGCAATATATATATGTATATATATATATATATATATATATATTGCATATATATATATATATATATGTGTAGTACAGAGTCGAATATGAGACGATTTAATTCATTTTGCTTAAGGCTGACGTTAACGTAGAGTTAATGTTAAATTTTATGTTTTATATTAATATGTACGTTCCTCGAACTCGAGTTATCAATCCAATTCCTAAAGTCATTCGTTCAAATTTCCATTTATGTTAACAATATCGAAAGATTATCCTGTTCTTATCTAAACTAAATATTTAGCTCCTCAATTAAACGTGTCAACAAATAGAATTCAATATTCTAAATAGCATCTGTTTTGCTCATCGCACTTTGCACTTGTCCCCTTTTAGCACTTGTTTTCTTTTCGAAAAAATATTTTTTAAGTTTTACTATTCCAAATTAATATGTGCGTTTCGTGTGCGTGCGTGCGTGCGTGCGTGCGTGCGTGTGTGCGCGCGCGCGCGCGCGCGTGTGTGTGTGTGTGTGGGTGGGTGTGTGTGTGGGTGTGTGTGTGTCTTTCTATATTTGATATCTTTTCGTCTAAAGACTCTAATTCTATTATTAGCTTTCACTAGGTTTTTCTTTTTCATTTATCTCATCTCTCATAGTCATAATTAAAAACATTTATAAAATTAATTTGATTATTAATGGAATGTTTTCATGTATATCTTTATTTTAAGAAAGAAAAAAGCTGCTTGTATAAATTAATTTATTGGTTTTGCTCTTCTTAAAAAATGAAGTTTATTAAATAAATTACATGTTAATAAAATGGTAAATTTTATCAATGCACTTAACAACAAACTTAGTAAAAATAATTACATAAATGTAGTTCATTCAACTTGTAATATCTATTTGAGTAAATTTATTTCATCTACTTTTTTGTCAATACAGCCTTATCAAGATACATTACTTTCAATCTATGAAATATGATCGATTTTCTCGCATGTAAATGATCCTTATTCACAGAGATGCAATCAACTTGAAGCAAAGCAACGTTTCTTTTACCAACGGCACCGATACCAACTATGCTCTGAATTTAAATCATAAAGTTCGTAAGAGACGACCGTCTGTAACTGTCGAGCAAACGATTGCTCGTGAACCGCGTGCGCAACGGCGCTCAATTTAGAGATTGGTGTCCATTGGAATTGGAAATGAAATTTCGTAGACGTACGAATGAGGGCGAGCACAGGGTTGCAACACAGTGGTAAAGCGCGAGAAATGTACCGTGTGCGCCATTGATTTTGCGAATACCGATTTATGTTTACTGATCCACTTTCGGTATATATAACTGTAAACGGTACCACGTTGGCAAAAAAAAAATCGTATATCTCATCTCATTGTCATCATTATCATATAAATGACGGATAAAAGATAATTTTAGCAATATCATAAATAGCATAAGCGGTATCAAAAAAACTGATTGTAAGAACAGTTACAGAAAAAATATCTTATTTAGACATTACGTAGATATACTGTAATAGCATTCCTTTAGAAAATAATTATTTCCCATTAGTTTTATGATGTGTTATACTAACAATAAGCTTACCAAGCTCTCTCTTTACTTAAAAAAGATATTTTTAATGACTTCTGTATTACCTTAAACGTCTACTTTTTGTAAAGAGAATTTTGTAAAGAGAACGCAAAAGTTTTCCTCCTCTTTCTCTCTCTTGTCGTGGGGTTACAGATGCTATGCCAGAAGCGTGCAACATAGACAAAAGTGGAAACTCTCGGGACAACCTTATAGTTAAATGTCTCGGTTCGCGCACGAATATAGTATAGTTTAATCAGAGTAAAGTGTGCGGCAAAAAGTCGTCAACTTCCGGTATTTCGCTATGATTTACCTATCTCTTGAGCAATAAAAAGCCTCGCTACCCGAACTGTATATAGCTGGTATATGATGCATAGTGTTAATAACGTTCATCATCTCTTTCTTACTCACCCTTTATTGTCCCTTTTCATCTTCGCACCCGTTCGCCAAGCTTCCTCTGCGTCACTTTTTCCTTCGTGTGCCATCCGCGTTTTCTCTATTTCTTCTGGTAGTCTCCTCTCTCAACTCAGATTGGCGCACATGCTGCATCAAGAAAAAAAAAAATATATATGTGTGTATATATATAAGTGCAGTAGTGCACACTATAAAATTTGTTGAATTAATCGTTAAGCTCTTTTTACGAAAAGATTTTAAAATATATACAATAGGTTTTTGCTCCAGAATACATATGTTCCAAAAGTTCTTCAATTTTTATTTATGTTAAAAACATGTTTTATGTGAGTTTCCTCTTTTAAATAATCCTCGAATTAATTTTCACACAATATCTAAATGATTTCATGAAATTATTTTTTTATATTTCATTTTTTATACTTTTTTTATCTATTTTACATATTTTGGTGCTGAAAAACTTGAAATCTAAAAATGGATATCCTCTTTTGATCATAATCAAATTTATCATCGATGATTATAATAAAAGAAATATCAATATCTAAAATATTATTTTACTTATTAAGATAGAGTCCCACGGTCTCTGGGCTCGGCATGGCTCGTGATCCGTCTTAGTTTATCTAGGCGCGTCACAAAATTAATCTCAAATTGATATAAAAAAGGCTAAATTCGCGGTCCCACGACGTGTCAGGTTTGTCATATGATGAGCCTGTTTATTATTGCTATTTGAAATACTTATTAAGTGTCTTTTTGATCATTCAAATCACAATATGGAGTAGGATGATGAAAAAATTATCGAGTTTCTATAATTACAAGAAAAATTTATATGAAATGACTTTTTACAAACATTATCAACAGAATATTTGTTTTCCTACTGATGGAAATTTCTTTCATGCTGATTGAATTAGGGTAAAAGCATTAGATGTGGATCAGGCACTAGTTCCGGATTACTTTTTATATTTAAATAATTATAGTATTTTGCATTAAACATAACACAAGACTCTTTAGCATTTGTTTTATCTCTTTTAAGTATTAATTGAATTTAACTTTTTTATTAGGAATAGCGGTATATAATATATTAATGTCGTTAACTAATTAAATGTGCAAAGTTAATTAACGTATATATCTTTAAAAATTCGTTTAAAGTGTTATATTATAAGAATTACATTATGGCTTTTACAATAAATAGTACAGTAAGTCAAGTAAGAGCGTGGTCGATCTTACTCAAAGCTAATAAAAGATATCGCCCTAAATCTATCATGAATCCATAGAGGACACTTTTGTTCTCGATGCACTATCAAGGAAGATTCAGTTGTCATTGAACTTTCTTAAAAGAATCACATTAAGCGCCATGAGTACTAAATGCGCATCACGCTATGAAGCTGTGTTCTTCTGCACTCACTCGAAACGTCCAAAAATGTCACAATTAGCGGCTGCTAAATATATGAAAAAGTCGAAATTATTCGTACAAAAGTGGGTGCAGCGATATAATGTGGCAAAAAATGTCGATGATTTACCGGAACGTGGCTCGATATGCAAAGTGAACAAAAAAGACTATAAAAAAATAGTGAATCTGTTTTAGCGGAATCCTGCTTAACACTGCGTCAAGGACAAGCAAAATTGAAGCAGAAAGGTTTAGATATTCGTATGAAACTATTCGAATCTCTATTCTATCTCAAGGCTAATAACATGAAATGGTGCAACACAGTGAAGAAACCTCTGTTGAATGAAAAACATGTAACGAAGCGACTCGCTTGGGCGCGCGAGAACATTGATCGAGACTGGCAACGTAATTTTTACTGACGAATGTTCCATATGGGCACGTTGTACCCTCAAACGAACCTGGTCAACTTCCAGAAATAAAATTGTCGAGCAGACTGTTAAACATGGAGTAAAGGTGCATCTTTGGGGCTGCTTTTCAAAGCAGGGTTTCGGTATTTTGTACTTGTTTACTTGCAACCTGAACGCCGAGAAAATGTTCGAAATCTACAAAAAGGCTTTATTACCTTTAGCTTTATTATCTGCCGAACGTTGGTTCATCGACAAAAATGAGGATTGGATTCTGCAGGAGGACAACGATCCCAAACACCGTAGCAAGCTCTGTACCGAGTGGAAACAGCAATCTGGCATAGTTACACTGGATTGGCCGTCGCAGTCGTCCGACGCAAATCCTATCGAAAATGTGTGGGCATACATTACACAAGCTTCGTGAAAAACGCACTTACACTTTAAAGCAGCTATCTCGCGAGATTCGACGGATTTGGAGAACCTTATCGTTAGAATATGCCGTTAATTTGGTCGAAAGCATGCCTCGAAGATGCCAGGCAATTATCGATGCCGATGGTGACTGGTTGCATTACTAATGTAGTTGCATCTTTGATTTGATCGAGTACTATACATATATGCATATAAAAATTTTATTCAATACATTTTTTTATAAAGTAACTCGACCACGCTCTTACTTGACTTACTGTATTTGACTAGAGTGTAAACAACTATTATTTTTATTATTGTACATTGAAAATGTCAAATTTTGTACCGGAAAAACGCCATTTATGGGAAGTTTTCCTTCATTATTTTTTTCTGAAGAAAAGAAAGGTGCAGCTAAAAGTCGTCGTTTGCTTGTGGAAGCTTACAAAGAACATGCTTCATCGTTAAGCATGTGTGAAAAGTGATTTAAATGATTCAGAAGCAATGATTTTGATTTAGAGCATGGAAAGCCATCGAAAAAATTTGAAGATGCACAATTGGAAGCATTGCTTGACGAAGATGTATGTCAAAAAAAAAAAAATTGGCAACAGCATTAAATGTTACCCAACAATGCATTTCCTTATGTCTGCATGCAATGGGAATAGTTCAAAAGCAAGGAAATTGGGTGCCACACGAATTGAAAGAAAGAGACGAAAGAAAAACCATGTGTGAATTGTTGCTGTAACGATTATAATGAAAAAAGAAAGGGTTTTTTTTACATCGAATTATTACTGGTGATGAAAAGTGGATTTACTACGACAATCCTAAACGCAAATCAGCATGGGTTAAGTCCGATGAACCAGGTCTATCAACGCCAAAGCGAAACATCCATGACAGTTATAAGGTTATGCTGTGTATCTGGTGAGATATGAAGAGTGTGGTTATATATTATGAACTACTGCAACCATCTGAAACTATCACTTGTGAACGGTACCAACTGTAATTAATACGTTTGAACAGAGTTGTGAAAGAAAAATGACCGGAATGGGAAAATAGACATGACAAGATAATTTTACATAACAACGCCAGACCACATGTTCATCGATTTGTCAAGAATTATCTAGAAGGAGTGAACTGGAAGATTCTACGTCTCCCGTCGTATTCACCAGACATTGCTTCCTCAAATTACTATTTGTTCCGATCCATGGTGTAGGCTCTTTCTGCAGAGCGATTCAGTTCTTATGAAGAAATCAAAAATTGGCTTGATAACTGGATCGCTTCAAAACAATCAGATTTCTATCAGCGTGGAATCTATTTATTACCCTGAAAGATGGGCCAAGACTTTTGATGGAGCATACTTTGAATAAAGTAAAAATGATTTTTATGTTTCAATTAATAATTTAAAAAAAATGTAAAAAATAAATAAAAAATTGTCACTACTGAGATTTACGGCAAAATATGTGTCGATTTGTTTTCGATGTCCAACCCTGGTAAAAATTCAGAGCAAAGCACTTAGCGTCGTTCTCTTGTAAGAGCTGATTCAATTTCTATACATACTTTATAATGAAAAATTTCATCGGGGATCAATAAGTTGATATTAATCAGCCATTACAATTGGACATTATGGGAGATTTCTTCATTAGATCTGTAATTCTCGCAAATAAGCTATCAATTCCTTACGAAAAAATACACCGAACTAGGCGTTAGCGATTCGAAATGACACTTAAATTGAGTGTTAACTTTCAAATAAACCTCCATCTTAAGGATTAACACTTAATTTAAGTTTAATTCTTAATTTAAGTTTATTTCGGACCGCCAATGCCTAGTTTGGTGTATTTTTTCGTAAGGGGTGCTGCACTTATCTCAATTTCTCTCTTCTCATGTGCAACATGCAGAAGAGATAATAAGTTATGCTACTAATACGAGGTCTGGCTATTAAATAACGAGACTGCGCGCGCAGAAGGCGTTCTAGAGGGATAGGGTGGGAAACGAATGCAGCGTTGGATAGCTGGAAGTGTCTACTATTCCAGTACGAAAACACGTTTTTGTCGCAGTAGTAGTATTTTTTCTATAGAGGTTAGAAACGAACTTGTTTTTTTTCTCGTGCCGATAACAATGTGTGACGAAAAACATGAGCAACGGATCAATGTGAAATTTCTCGTTAAATTAAAAAAAACTCCGACTGAGTGCTATAAGTTGTTGAAAGAGGCCTATGGTGAGAATTCTCTATCTCGTGCGCGTGTTTTCGAATGGTATAAACGGTTTTCTGAAGGCCGAGAGAGCACCGAAGATGACCAACGTCCAGGTCGACCTGTCTCTGTTTCAACTCCGCAAACAGTGACCAAAATCAATGAAATTGTGCGCGGAGATCGTCGTATGAGCATTCGGATGATTGCTGAGACTGTAAACGCCGATAAAGAAACTGTCAGAAAAATTTTACATGACGAATTAAACATGAAGAAAGTCTGTGCGAAGTTGGTCCCAAAAAATTTGACCCCTGACCAAAAGCTCGTCCGTCAACAGATCTGCTCAGATTTTCTTGAGAGGTTAGATGAAGAGCCTGAATTGATGGAAAACATCATCACTTGCGATGAAACCTGGATATTCCAATACGATGTTGAAACTAAGCGGCAATCCATGCACTGGAAAACTCCTGCATCGCCAAGAATGAAAAAAGCAAGGATGTCGAAATCAAAATTTAAAGCCATGCTAATCGTTTTTTTCGACATCAACGGCATCGTGATGACTGAATGGGTTCCAGAGGGTCAAACTGTAAACCAAACTTACTATTTGACAGTTTTGGCAACACTGCGAGAGCGAGTTCGTAAGAAACGGCCGGAGTTGTGGAAAAACAAGTCGTGGATCTTACACCAGGACAACGCACCTGCCCATAACGCGCTGTCTGTGAAGCGTTATTTAGCCGCTAGAGGCACTCCAGTGCTCGAACACGCGCCGTACTCGCCTGATTTAGCACCCTGTGACTTTTTCCTGTTTCCGAAGATCAAGTCTGCCTTAAAAGGAACCCGGTTCGAGTCGATGGTAAAGGTGAAGCGATAATCGGCGGAGCTCCTAAATGCTCTTACAAAAGAAGACTTCCAGCATTGCTTTGACCAATGGAAAAAACGAATGGAACGGTGTGTGGCGAGGGGAGGGGAGTACATTGAAGGGGAGCATTCAATTGTAGAATAATTTTTAAAATAAAACTCTTTTTCATAAGCAGTCTCGTTATTTAATAGCCAGACCTCGTATATAAAATTGTTTATATCTCAGAAACGATTGAGCTTTCGATTTATGTTTACTAAAGCTTTTTTATTCATATAGTGTGTACTATTTACCATGTAAATGCTGAACGATTTTTTAAACACTCTATATATTAGATAGAAATTTCGATTTACTCATCAATTAACAAACAAATTTTTTTATTAGACTTTATGAAAATTTATAAATAAATGAAGAGAAAGAAACACATTATATTATTAGCGTGCAATATATTGTATTATGACATTAAGTTACATATTCTATTTCTCTCAACTATTGAGACACACAAACGTGTGTTTATACGCTAAATTAAAGGTAAATTTTAAAATGGTCACGCAAACCGACCGGTATTTAATACAAGACATCATAAGGACGGGTTGTGGTTTAAGAATAAAAACCGAATCACTGTTAAGCGTTAAAGTGCACCCCATAGTTTAATTAGTACTTTCGAATGATGGAGCAGTTTCTCTGTAATTTACGTCGGTAAACATGGTCGTTTGATGTTAACCAACTCGCGAAAATTTAATAGTGATCCTTTTTTACGGAAGTATATTTTCTGAGTCATCGCATGTCTGCATTTGTATGCTCGCGTACATGTGTTCATAGATTAAACAATTCTATGCTTTTTATGTTTCTCTTTCCTAGACTTTGCGCAAACAATTTTATATATAATATATGTGATTAAATATGTGTAAATAAAGATTTGTATACAAGCTACAGATTAATTTGCAGTGGAATCATATACAATATTTAAACTTAATGGTATTTTAATAATACGCATAACATATGTTTATACGGAAATAACACAGAAAAATACTAAATATACATTTTCATATTTTTCTGCAAATTTCGGAAAAAAAAATATATACAAAGTTATACTACAAATATCGAAGAATATATGTATACATGTTGTGCGTTATACATTTGAATTCTACAGAGAGAAAAGTTTACTCAATCAGTGAGAGTAGAAAATTAACGCTTTATTAAGTAATTCTTTCCATTTGTATAAAAATGACACTATACATCTCTTCATTTACATATGATCGTAATTAACAGAGATATTCTAATAAATCTAATTCTTTCTATCACAAGTTAAAATATTTTTTCCAAAGGTAATTTTAATGACATTTTTATAGCATATTGATATATTTAGACAAATTAACGATACTTCTTATATACAATTATCTCAGTACTTGTGCAATTTTTCTAACGATCGCGCTAACAACTACACACGGAATATTTTTATTCGTTTTCAATAACATTATTCTTTTTTTCTTTTTTACGATTTTGAGTGTCACATAAATCATGCATTTAGTTTCGAGTGGTCTCTGAAGGAAGATACCGCGTTTCACAGAAATTCGTCCGCTCGTGTTTCTACCATTCGTCCGCCCCAGAAACGGTTGTAGCGTCGATCTTACCCTTTGAAGATCGGCTATTTTCATAATAACGAAATATATCTTTCCCTGAAGACGACGTTCCATTCTCACGCGATACGGTCCGTTTCGAAAGTGGGTCGCCCGGGGCGAACGACTTGCGGATAAAAAGACGAAATGGAAAAGCAGGAAGAAGACGCGCAAACACACGTACGTACCGCGGCAGCCTTCGCGAAAAGTAGACGTGTATTAAAGTGCAGATGGAATCTAAGCGTACGTATTGCACGCGCTACAATGCCGTTGCGTGTTAATTACCAGTGATTAATCTCATTGTCACATTGGCACGATTAATGAGAGTTATGCATGATTATTTTAATTATTGTGAAAAAATGCTACAAGTTTTCCTGCGCCAATAACAAAAAATTATATTATATTTTATTTATTATACAATGATTATTACATCTAATTGTAAGTTTTGTGTAACGAATATTTGGATTTAATATGTAAACAAAGTCATAAATAGCCACATAAATAGCTCCACGTTTGCTATTTAGACAATATGCGATAAGAAATGAATATGTTAAGAATATATTTATATCATAATCAATAGAGTTTTAAATTAAAAAAAAATATATAAACTTTTCTTATATCATACTTTATATCGATGCTTAACCTTCTTAAGACTCCGTATATGTGTAACTTTTGTGTAGAGAATAGTAAAAATTCGTCTTTTCAATTCCACATTGCTTTCAACGTCGTAATTGAATGTTGAACGAGCACACAAAGTGACAGTGCTTATGATCCGAATTAAGGATTAGGAAGGAAGGGTTTTGTCATCGCGAAAAATTTGTCATTTGATATAACCGCTTATCTCACAGCTGCTTAAGTAAGATTAATGGACCGTTATTAAATTTTTTTCGCTCATGGCCATTGCCTCGAGACGTGATTTTCAAGAATGCTATGCGTCATTAACGGCATTTGAGCACACATCACGTTTTCTTTTATGACGCAACACGACCACGTCTTATATTGCGATAAGGATTTTCGTAATGCGAGAAATAGGACTCCCGAGTAATCGTTTTGAAATATAAACGTTTTTATTGATTGTTTGCGGC